ATCATAGTCCCTACAGAAAACTTAATTAAATTTATTCATGACAGCAATACTCAAAACATTCTTTTTAATCCAACATACAGGCTCAGTCTAATTCTGGCTCCATTACAGTTCTTTATAATGAAAACTTAGAATTTCATTATTCTGATATGATCTTTAAATTCTCTAGAAAAAAATGTGCAGTATGAATCAAGAATTGTAATCACAACTGTTAAGTTTCTTATTGAGTTTTAACAGAAAATTTATTCATAAAGAAATGTAGATTGAAAATGGGCAAAAGTGGCATAATTAAAACATGTCCTTCCCAAATATAACAATAATGTGCACTAATATATCTTTTGGTATGTGATAGAAAGGCATTTAATGCAAACGCTTTTCATGATCCTGACCCAAGTGCTATTTTTATTTTATACCCAGAGAATAAAAACAGTATCACAAGCATAACAAAGTAGTATCAAGAGCTCTAGGAGGCACACTATGAGGAGACAGGCACACAACATGGACTGGCATCTACTGTGTCTGGTACTTGCACAGGTGGAGAGCACCCTACAAAGTGGGTGTTTACACATCTTATTTGCTGATGTGGTTGCCGAGGCTCAGCAGCATTAAGGAACTTGCCAAAGTTACATGTTTAACTTACAAAAGTAGACTGTAAAGTTCACACAGAAATGCAGCATGTGTAGTTCTCTAGCCAAAACCACATCATCATGGAGTCGTGATTATCACTGGAGCCCTTCCAAGAGAAATCTTGAATACAGATTTATACTGAATATAACTCCAAAAAGTGTATGCAGGCATACCCGAGAGCAGGTAACTGCAGGAAACAGAGAGGAACAACTAGATGCATGAAAAATAAGTTAGCACAGTCATCTACTATGATAAAAAAAATCATAGTAAAGATCACTATTTTATTGTGCTTTAGCCTTCCTCAATGATATAGTATAGCTAAACTCATCCCGTGAAAACTATTTAAATAAGTAATGATGCATACTATCAGAAATCAAAACTTAGCATGTATCACAACTTTACCATGCACTATATAAACTGTTTTTATGCAAGACGGAAGGAAAAGAGCAGCGTTCCTGTGCCATGGAACCAGGTTTGGATTAACAGCTTGGCTACAGCAAAGTTGTAACAATGTGGAGGAAGACATACACTTGGGTTAAGTTCCTCTAATCCTTGGTTTATCCACTACAAATAAAGAAATAAAAAAGAACACATGTAACAGAGTTAAGATTTAGATAATGTGTATCAGTGCTTGGAACAAAGTATGTAACAAATGGCAGCTTTTATTACTGGAGTTCTATAAATGATGAGAACATTGATTAAGAAAAGTTCCCGGGACTGGACATTACAGGTACTGTCACAGCTCTCCAGCTTAACGCCACCAGGAATCTATCTAGTGCCAAGAGCTAAGCGTAATACTCATTGCTGTGAAGAAGAATGCTCCCCATGGGACACCATGGCGAGTCTCAGTAAGAGGGTTTAGAATGCAGTGGTTACAGAATTTAGGCTTTGGTTGACTCATTTTTGGGTTGCCCTGATGAAGGACGAGTTCACTCAGGACTGATTTCAATAGCAGGGGCAACTCTACAGGGGAGAGAAGACGTACTAGACTGAAGATAAAGCGCAGACTGGTTTGAGGTACAGCAGCAGCCACTCGTTTTGGCTTTCTGTAGGTGTTAGTAACTTCCGGTCTGTGTTTTGACTATACTATACAGTTATTTGTTTTGTTTCATTTACCCTGGTTTCAGCACAACTCTATTGGATGCTGCTGTCTGACAGGTCAATAATATTGTGGTCCCAAGCATCCCAGATAATGGTCATCTGATCTACATCAATTTTAACTCTTTGTTGGTGTTTATAAGTTAATAAAGAAGTTTGCCTTGTTCATTATTCCTCTCAGTGAAAATGAAACTAGAAAAACATCTATGTTTTAGCTTACATATGGAAGTCTAAGTCAGTGATGGGAAAGCTATGGCATGCCTGCCACAGCAGACTGTCTGCTATCACTGAAAGCTCTCAAACGTTCGCCAGCAGTGGTTTAAGTGATTTTATGGAGATTACATACAGCTCAAGTCAACAAGATCTAAAGTTCTAACTCTGGTCAGTTTTTATTTCTCTATAAGAGATAATGTTAGGCTTTACCAGTAAGTTCTCTCATTTCCCTCAGTGATTTTATTGGGTGGGTCAGATTCTTTGCTTCATGCTTTTATCAATTTCCTTCAATAGAAAAAAATGAAAGCTGGAACAAAAAAACTTTTACTATCCACACAATGACTGATTTGCTTGGCTTTTGAAAGAACTACAGCAGAGGTAGTGAACCGTTTAGAGATGAGTGCTCAAACTGCAACTCAAAACCTCCTTATTTACTGAAAAGCTGCCAACACTGCAATCAAACCTGAATACTAAGGTTTAACTTTAGGAGAAAAACCTCTCACATTACCATTGTTCATCCTAAAACAAAAAAGCGTATGTGACACAGGTTTGTAACCACTGACCCACACCTCCAAGGTTCAGAAATCCATGTTGAGCAGTGTGTGACGGCACACACCTGTAACCCCAGCTACCCAGGAGACTGAGGCTGAAGGATCCCGAGGTCAAGACAATCTGTCTCAAAATAAAAACTTAAGAGTGTTGGGGCTATAGGTCAGTGTTCACTGGTTTCTACTCACAGTGTCACAAAAAAACAAGGCAAAACAAGCAAACAAGAAAATCTATGTTGTAATTTTTTTCTTCCACACAATGAATTTATTTTTGAGTAATGAATTTAATGGTCATTTATCACGTACCTTTCAGGGGAAAATATTTTCATAGTATATTAGGATTACCATTTACCATATGTATCCCAGTCTAGATGTTAGACATTTTAAGGTTATAACAGTGAAATAAAATTTGAGAGACTGACCAATTTTTAAAAATTGCTGTACAGAGGTTATATATCCACTATTTTGGGACAAGCTTTTTATTGCTGTATTAAACACTCCCTTACTCCAAATCTTCTGGAATATTCCATAACAGTTCATGCAAATGACTATCTCACTACTACAGCCCATGTTTTACTAACTGAAGATATTGCAAATTAATGAGTCAATAATCACAATTCCAAGCTGTGAGAAATATGCAAGGCTTGGTACAGAAAGATCAGTACTGAACTACAATGCCTCCCACATTAGCTTTCGCAACACTGAAACCCAACACCCCAATTAACAGTACAGGGAAAGCACAGGGTGAAGGAAAGAGGCTCACATCAGGGCTGCCAGGAAGAAGAGGCAGAAGGGAGGGAGGAGGGAGGGAGGCAGGAAGTAAGAGAGACAGAAAGAGAGAGAAAGGGAGTAGGGGGAGGAAGGCAGGGAGGGAGCGAGACAGAGCTGGAGGTGGGGACAAGAATACACAAAACACCCTCCTAGGTCAGTATCCAGTGACCCACCCCAGCCAGGCCTGCCTCCTAAAGCAGCCACTGCATGGGTTAGTCTACTGACGAGCACACTGGCCCTGATCCAGCACCTTCCAAACACACATACCTTGCGGGAGACATTTTAAGTCTCAATCATAAAAACCTGCAATCTGTAAATCCAGGAAAAGCACTCACACCCGCAGTCACTCCTGATGCATCTTGGGGCAAGCTTCCCACTCCTAATCAAAGGGAGAAAACTTGGCTAGGGGCCCTCTTAACTGGAATATGAATGACAACAGTAAACAGCTAAAAAAGATGAACTCATCAAGTCTCCAAGGAATGAAAGCAAATAGCACCAGATGTCAAACTATCTGTTACTAAGTGGGCTAATTAAAGCCTTTAAGTATCTGAGGGAGAGAAAGGAGAGCTATTTCGCTTAAAAGTTCTAAGTCTCTGACAAAACACTTTTACTGAATAAGTGAAATCAAGATTTAGGTCACTAGTATAAAATATGTAATAAATAATGCACGTTTCTATATTTTAGGAATGTTACATACATGTGTGTAGGCATTATGAGTTGTGCAATAAAAGTACTTTCATATATAAAGATCAGCTATTTATCATTTAAATACCTACATGATTTTTGTTAAAGCCAATGATTATAAAAGGCTATCAAATTTTTATTAATGACTACGAAGAATTCCCAAAAGCTAAATAAATTTAAATTTATTTCATTTTGTAAAAATAAAATAAAATCACTTTCTGGGATATTATCACAAATTAAATTACATTGTTATAAAGTGCTAAAATTTTACATGACTATTGATCATGATGTGATATTTTGTTATTTCTTGGCATGTTAAACTCAAAATTTATTTCAGCCCAATTGAGAAAACAATAAAACATCTCATAATTGATCTGACTTTTAAAGAAAAGGATATAAATTATGTCAAATATATTAGTCTGATTAACAACAAAAAAATTATGGAGCTACCTACTTGGTTAAAACTCTGTACTAGTCAGTAATCTCTTAAACTATAGTACTGTCTGAGCTATCTACAAAGAAATACTGATAAAGAGACAGCCAGAGTTTAGAAGAGTACCTAAAAACACAATTAATACAAACCTTAAGAACTGGGATAGAAGCCTTTCTGGAGCTTACAAAAGTATAAATCAGGCACAAATATGCCAAATCAAAAGATGTTAGTGCCCTGGGTATGCCAATTGCTCTGTGACCCCAGAGGAATGACCCAATTTACTTTAGATAACAATCATCACAACATCATTAAATTATACAACATCATTAAACCACAATATTGAACTATTCTTTATTAAAACACATATGAAAATCATATAACACAATCAGAGCACTACTGAACAATTTACTTCTCAGGCAGTTTACATTGAAGTTTATCCTTCAAAGTTAAATTAATAACAGCAACTATGCTTTTTTCCCTCTTAAGTATTTAGGTTCTGCGTCAATGAATTTCTCTGTAACAATTCAGGTCAGCTCATAAAATCAATTTTGCAAAGCATATTATGATTAATTCTTGATTTATGTCTATCAATCTTCTCAAACACAGGTGAGATGAATGTTAGCTCTTACCTGACCAGGTTCTGTTCCAGTAACAGTCAAGTCTTGGATGGATCTACGTCTTGGTTGCCCATTGCCTTTTAAAAAATAAAAAAAGCCAGACACTGAAATCTACTCAAACAGGTAATAAAGGATGTAAGCAGGTAACTACTACAGGAAGAAGCTGAAATTAGTTGCTCCTCGGATCTACATGTAATATTTGTAAGAGAAAAAGTGAATTTATTGTTTAAAAAAAAAAAGAAACCATCCAAACTCCCCAAACCATAGGCAGGACAAGAGAAACAGCTGCAGCGCTCTCACTCAAAAGCCACTGGCCACAAAGCGGCACTGTGTGTCTTTACACAGTAACCACTCCTACCACGGGAAAAGCTGCCGAACTCTCTTCTACCATCTTCTGTCATGTGTTTAAATAGATGGATTCTTGGGGCCTGGAGCTGATGATGGCATCTATTTCAAGGACCTTACGTTACAGTTTTTAACAGCAAGACAGCAAGGAGCAGATTGTAAGACACAACTAACAGGCAGCAGTACCTTGTTTCAAGACCTCAAAGGATGCTTAGGCATCAACTTGTTACACCAAATCAGAATTAATCACATTAGTCACTGTTAGAATCTAGTAATTTGTTACTTGTGAATAACAACTCAATTTTGTTTCTTGTTCTCAAATATACAACTTGCAGAAACAGGCTATTATGTATACTTTGCTTTACTGAATTTCTATTCAATAAAAAAGAATTCTGCAAGCTTCAGTCTTCACAAAATAGAATGAATTAAGCAATAGTTTCACTTGGGACTTATATTTGGGAAAAGGCTGTTTATACAGTGCCTTCTGAGATGAGAGAACAGCTGTCTAAAAGGAAATACCAAAATACAATGAGCAGCAGCTGACACTATATTCCAAATTCTTTTAATTCTGAAAGTTGTATTATATAAATTTGCAACTTGCAGGCAGTGTAGTACTGAGAACATACACTCTAAGAGTTGTGGACCAGTTAACAGATAATGCATATTTAAATGTTTAATGTTTTTGATTTTGAGAATAAAAAATCTTACGCCAATCCCTGTAACCACCAGCTTAATCCATGTGACCTCATCTTTGTTTCTGCACATAAAATAAACGAAACCTACATGTTTAATATGTGCAGTGAATATAAAAGCTGTAACAGACACACTTCAAGGTATAAATCATCACTTTTTTCCAGCTTAGAATGTTTAGAATTCTTTGTAGTTTGAATTCAAATTTATTTTAAATTTCAATTTACCAGAAGCCCCAACTTTCCATTACAAATGAAAACCACAAACAGTCAATTTCTTGAATCAGAAACACTAAAATCCTTTTATGAATATTTTTAACTATCCTTGTTTCCAAGGACAAAAAGGATCTCCATCACTGTGACTAATAAGCAATTTTAGGCACATTTCATTCAACACACTCCTTCTAAAATTAGCATTCATGAGCCAGGCTTTTAAAATTGTCTGGAATTCTCTTTCTGGATCAGCAACATTTGTGAATCTGAGGAACCAACCAGCACATGTGTCTATAAACCATTACATCATCAGGGCAATAACAACAGAAATGAATCCGAGTTTAGGTTGGGGGAAGGAAGAAATGGGCATAAATACTTTTAAAGAAGTAGGATAAAGAAAAGCTGACAGTTAACAAATGCCATAAAATGAGAAATGTTCAAGCAACTGCGTGAGTCAAAGCAAGCAGTATCAGGCAATGCATTTTAATTAGCATAACTGTGGCACAAATCATTGGGCAAACAGACAAAGCAAAACAGGAGTGCAATCAACCAATACTTGTTGCTCCAATATTTAGTTTAAAAGTCGTATTTAGAAATATGAATGTAAAAAAATCAATCTCATTATTGTGAATGAAAACTATTGGATAGTTTCTCAGAAAATACGGATTCTGAAAATTCTTGGAACTTACATTATTGCATGGTTCTTTGCTATATGCCTTACCTGTACTACACAAGGTTGTACAAACGAAGTGAACAGAAGAAAGGAGGGAATGACTAAGGGGCCTGAACTCCACACACGACCATGCGGGCTTCAATGAATTCTGGAATTTTCATGACTTATGATACAGGAAAAGAAGTGACATTTTAAAAAACAACTCTTGGAAGAGGAGAATACATCACCCTGGCTGCCTGTGCTACCTAACTCTTCACACCCCCTCCCACAGAAAGGAAGTCAAGAACAGCAGTTTACAGGTCAATCCAGAGCTTTTTTTTTTTTTTTTTTTTTTTTCCAGTAATGCTATAAAGACAGAATTTATCTTTTCAAAGAAGTTGCTCTTTTAAGTATAACTGAATTCCTGAATAAGTATTTGAAAGTCATCACAGAACTGTTTCAGAGATTTGGCTTAGGTCCCAGTCTACTGCTGTGGATTTTTTATTGGTTTAAAGAAGTTCATAGCCTTCCTTAAACTACACTCACTTTTCAATATTGCTGAAAATTTTCCTTGTTTAAAAACTAACACTTGTTTGCCTGGAGATGTCTCTTAACTAAAACGCTGAAAAATCTGACATTCACAATCCCAAATACTAAAACTAATGGGCCACTGTTCTCCGTAAAAACTACTGCTGCATGGTAAGCTGAATATGTAATTATTAATTGTTCTCATTTAGCCTACCATAAATTCTATTTTTTTTGTTGTTTTTTACCAATTTCAACATATTTGGTCTCATACCCTTCAGAGAGGTTTTTTAAAATTCTCCTATTAAATGAAAGCAATGACTACTTACTGATAAGCTCTGGCTTCTAACAGACCATCTCTTTTAGGTTAGAGTTTTAGTTTTTAAGTTACAAAAAGTGATCGTGGTACACTACAATCTGGAGGAGAGATTTCCTAAATATTTATCTGCAAGGTTAAATTAACTTCCTTAATTAGCCACAAATACAAAATTTTCTTGGAAGCCAGGTGAAAGAATGTATCTACACATGAAAGAGATACAGTGTATCTTAATATAGCTCCTTGCGGTCCCCAGCAATGCTAATTGAAGATTTATAAGTGCTAATCACACTATCATGCATGGTTAGGAACCTGCTAAATCTTTCCAGGAAAACGCAATCCTTTCTATTCCATGGTCTCTTCATATTGCTGCTGTACTATTTAGGGAAAAACAGGTAGTATCACTTAATACAGCAAAACTTGTGGGAAATCATGTAGAGCAAAAAATTTCTGGAAGTATTGATGCTGTCATTATAGCACTCTGGAAGGCTGAGGCACAAAATCTGCAAATTGATTATGTTAATGTTTGGATATCTGGGGGTGAGGAGAGGAACGAAACAAAAATATTTAATAAAACGCATTACTCAATGCTTCCATTCAAACAACACTGACTGCCATTCTGGCCAGCGATGGCAGAATTAAGGTCTTCTGATTCCATTAAGGACCCAATGTCATGGTCTCCCTTTGTGAGGAGCACTCCTTAATGTGAATACTGTCTTTCGTGACTCATCAAACAGAAGAAAATTGATGAGATTTGGAATTAGATCTGGGCTAGGGTCCCAGTAGTGTGACACTGGAAAAACCACTTAGCCTCATGGTATCTAAATTTATCTGTAAAATGGCTACAATTTCATCTGATAATCAAGATCAATGAAGATATGTACTCAACACTACTTTGTAATTCACAGAGTGCATCTAAGCAGGGTTTCTCAGGTTCAGCACTGTTAAATTTGTTGGACTGGTTAATCTCTGCTGTGGGGGAATATTTAGCAGTACGGGACGTCAGCCTCTAGCACTGTATGCCTGCGCCTCCTGACAGTTCTAACTAGTTTTCTTCTCCTCTGCTCCTTTCCTCACCATCTTGTGTCATACTGACTACATAAATATTTGTTCTTAAGGCTTACCTGTAACACCTGGATTATGATTATACTGTTATCTAAATTTTTCTAATTCTCTCAAAAGGTAACCACAATTCTGTAAAAAAGTTTAAAAACTACCAATTCTTTAGTTATAGTATAAACTCTCTTATATGCAGTGACTTCCAGTACAGAAATAAAATGACTAAATACTTTAACTAACATGGCCCTAACTCATAAATAAAAATTACTGCATAACAAATGAATTAGTACTATTCTTTGAACAGTAATACTGACAATGCTATAAAGTAAGAAACCACTTAAAAAACAAGTGAGAAATTAATAGTTTATTTCCTAGACAAAACAGTCTCTAAAATTGCACAATTTATATTTTTGTTTCCTAGTTCGTAGTTACAGGAGATGCTCGCCCAATAGGGGTTTGCTTACTTATTTAATACATATTTATTAAATACTGTATTTACTATATGAAAAACTGGGTTAAGGGAATAGCTCACTGGTAGAGTGCTTGCCTGGTACACATGAGGCCCTGAGTTTGAAACACAGCACAGCAAAAAAGTGGTATTCTTTAGGGCTGGAGTTACAAGTCAGTGATATTGGCCTCATATGTGTAAGACTCTGAGTTCAAAACCCAGAACAAAAAGGAACAAGTTAAGGGAATGAAAGGAAGGAGAGAGAGAGAGAGAGAGAGAGAGAGAGAGAAAGGAAAGGGGAACAATGGAGTTAGCTACTACTGACACCAGCAACAGTAACTAATATAGACATGGACTGTTACGCAGTTTGGTAAAGGCATTAAATTATAACAGAAATACTACAGTAAAAGCCCCAACACATCCAACACATACAGTGCTAAAGACTTCATTCAAATTATACACATGAACATGTCTGGAAAATAGTGTATTTCCTAATTAAATGTTTCAGTGTACAGGGGGAGGAAAATCTAAAGCAGAAATATGAACACTTTGATAAAAGCAACATATATTAATCAGTATTGAAAATCAGTACATCATCTGAGTTTCTATTAAAAATGATGATTTATATTCATCTATGAAATGACCACTCGGAAAAAAATCAACAAAAAAAGCTTACCAATATTAGACACTAGATGCTAATTTGTGAAATATTTTTTATAATATACAAAAACTAGAATTAATCATTTGTTTTAAATAATTTTTTTTCTTTTTGGCAATAATACCCTATACACAGCAAATCTCATCTAGTTTTACTTGTTTCTCTTTTCTGCGTTAAGAAAAGTGGTATTCAGCAACGCTCCCTTCTCAAGTTTGTGTCACCTGCTACTAACAGAAAGAGTACTAGGGACAGAAGCGCACAGGGGGCTCCAAAAGCGATGGACTGCGGGAGCACGGAGATTGGGGATGGGAAGACAGTTTACAACAGTCTTTCTGTGCTGGGTCTCAGAAAAGGTGTGGGTTTAGTTCATGTGTCCACTATGAAGGTAAGAAAAGGTGGCAGAAGCCAATTTTTATCCACACTATTAGGGATTGGAGGTCATCTTTTCAAGTACACTTCAGAACACAGAGTTTTCCATTAGTTTTCCTAATTAGTGCATGCAAGATATGCATTTTCATGTTGTTCAAAAATTGGAGCAAGAAGCATTTTAAAAGTACCAGGGATCATTATTCCAGTTCCACAGCTATTAGACCAACTCAGGTGATCTATGATACCTGGTATGACGATCTCAGGGACATCCAGAATGTTGCCAAATGAAGCGGTTTTACGGTGGCCCCGTTTAGGCTTGGAATAGGCTGCAAAAATACATATATACAGTATACATGCAAACAACCACAAATAATAACAGAAAATGACTAACTACAAAAACAGAGTAATTCTCAGTTATGTTAATACCATGTCATGCAGAATGTCATGCAGAACTATCTAACTTTTCGTTCAAGCTTAACAGAAGGCATGATTAAAGAGCAAACAACTAACAACACAACAAGTTTCACATAATGGTTTTAATTAGCAGGGAAAAAAACAGAGGCAAACAGTGCTGCAAGGAATGAGGAAGCTGAAAAATAATCTACCTGAGTGAAACTAATGGCTATGATGAAGACCAGAAGGGAGACGAGAAGGAGGGGAGGAGAGAGGAGTTAATAAGAAACAAGCTGCCATATTTAATCACACAAACACAGGAATATATTTTTGTTAGGTGCTTCTTGAAGTGTGCTATAAAGTAAAATTCAGTGGTTAAATGATAATTATTGAAAATATGAACCTTACAAAGAAGACAATTCACTAAAAAATTATATAAAATTCAAAAGCGATACAATAGTGTATGTCCTAAATTTAGGGAAAGAGGGTAAAATTTAATGCTTGTGATTCTTCTCTTTAATCTACTGCAATAGCACTTAAGAATAATTATAAATCAGTACGACTTGAAAAATAACACTAGCAAAGTCACAAATCTGTCATATTACTTTTTGTTTCAGGGTAGTCATTTGGTGAGTCTATCCTTAATGGCATCCCTGACGTGAAAAAGATTCCCCAGAGCACAGAGATGTCTCTGCAGGAAAGGTTCATCAGTTCTACTCTCCGAAAATCCTTGTGACCCATGGAGAGAACACAGTGCTTGTCAATGACTGGTGGCGTCTACTCAACTTCTTCATTTCTGAAGATTTGCCTTTCAGAGACTACTAGTTTGTTTTTTCCTTCTTCCTTGGCAAGAGAACACTTCCTTATTATGAACAGTACGATTCCAGAACACAGCTATGGAACTCTACATGTAGCGCTCTGTCATTCTGGCCAATGACATCTAGTGGATGTTGCTATCCTCTCACCTGCCCCTATTTCTTCTTTCCTACTGCCTGGAATGAGGAAGGAGTAACACTGTGATTTGGGGCTAGGAGATAACCTTGAGGATGAAAGCTACACAAAAGGAACTGTGATACAGGGCGGCAGGAGGAAGCTGCCCAGTGATTATGGAGCCTACCTCCAGGCTTACGTACAAAATAAAGCTTTATGTGTAAAATAAAGCTTGTATGTCCCATATACTGTTATTTTGGATATTGTGTCTAATGGATTCTAGTGCTTGCTGATGATAAAATTAAAGATCATTATTAGTTGAGGACTATTATGATGACCTATCTGGACCACCTCTTTCTGAAACTGTGAATATTATTTAGAGAATAACAAACTGAAAGACTTAAAAAAAAGTGGTTAACCAAATTAAAAAATAGATATGTAAATACATATGGATGTACACTTACACATACATACATAAAAGATTAACGATAAATACACAAAAATGTTCAATGTTTATCTCTCATTAGGATAAATATGTAACTTTTTGGTTTGTTTACATTTTCACCTCCCTCCCACGATGAATAGATTCAGGAAAAACTAAACTAAACCAAATACAAATCATGCCAAATTACTAAAATGAAATCTGATTAGAAGAAAGGGTATCAGTTCTCTTAGTTAACAAAACATGTAGTTATTTTTATGCTGACCAGTGCTTTCATGATCCATAATTTTAAAAACTAACAAAACATAATTTATAAAAGTTACTCTTTAAAGATTCAATAAAACTATTATTACCTTTGATTTTACAATTAAATGAATGAACCACAATCAGCTTAGCTACTTTTGCCACAGGAGGGAAGGAGAACTAGACACTAAAGCTGAGTCACAGCTGGATATAAATTACCATTTCTTGCTAACTTCAAAACAAAGTATTTTGCTATTACTTGAGCTTAGCACAAATATCCAGTAAAATCAGTCCAAATCTGCAAACATTTTGGTTTTGGTCAATCTCAACTTCTCACTTAAACTTTAAGCTGACATGTGGAGCACAAAGAATTACATGTAATAAGATCTGTAACTCGGAAGATATATTTTATTATCCAAATAATTGTTCAACTCGTATTTTTCTTATTTAGAACTCAAGGTAAATGCATAAACTGTCAGAAACTTAGAAAGTATACTCTTCTACTTTCTGCTTAAAGGAAAAAAGAAAAAAAAAAAAAAAAGACATAAGTAAACCTGACATCCCCACTAGAAAGTACGACACTAAAGTGCCAAAAGGAATGCACACTTCTACCCCTCTCCAGAGTGCAGCTCCTCTTACCTGTGGTCGCCGTGATCCGGGCTTCTATCTCAGACATATCAGCACTCATCCTCTTGCCCTCAGAAGCTGGAGGTAAGCTCTCCACGCTGCTGCCACGGGACGCTCCCAAGCTTAACCGGCCAGATTCACTCTGTTAAAATTATAGGTCAATCTCAATTACTAAGGTTCTTCAGATGTGGCAATCCTGGGCAGCCTAGAAGACAGATACCAAGTAGAATCCTCGTGGATCCCGTGCTGCTCTTAAAGGCGAGCGATGTTTGCAGAGAGTGGGAGCTACAGCTGGAGGGGACAAGTCAGGGAATACCTTTACGAAAAGGTGGTTGCTGGAGTTGGTTAAATGCTCCAATTACTAGTTAATTTAAATGCCTCAAGCAAGAGGAGCAAAATCAAAAAGGAAAAACAACTTGTTTGGTAATAAACGGTGGGAGAACTCTTTCTAAATCTTTGTTATTACACTTACTTGTCTACTTCAGGAAGATGACTCAGGACTTAAATAGTATATAATGGCAAATAATTTCAACTCAGCAACATTTTTAGCTAAATTTATGAGTATTGGTAAGGCTACCATATAATTTTACTTTTAAAAAACATAACAAACCTGTTGCTTTGGCTGATTTTTCAACAATTTTGATTCTAAGCGTTTAATAGTATCATTCGTAGCAGAAACTTGCTCCGTGTTAGTGTCACTTTTATTACTGGTATTTGTAGAGGCGATGTCCATGAATGAGCCTAGGAAAGCAGAAACTTTTTTGGCTAGAGGTTGTGGATAATACAAATGTTTCATTCAATAATGTAAACTTAAATTCTTTTCTAATCTAGCAAGATACAAATAGAAATAAAAATATAAAATGATTAAAAATAAAAATATATACTAATATATACTAATAATGGATACGTCAAACAAACCCAATTTAAAGCTAAGGATGGTACAAAAAGTTATCATAATGCTTTAATCATCATTTACAGTCAGAATAATTTGAGGTAGCATAACTAAGGACAAATAACTGGGAGACGATGAGAGGATGAGTGAACATCAGGGGGAGTATCTGGAGGTCAGTTTGGAAAATGGGAAATCTGAGTTCCCCTTAGCAATCAAACAAGTAGCTGTGTATGTGGCCACACTGGGGAATCTGTAGATGCCGTCTTGTGATTACTCCCATTTTCCCAGAAATAACAAAAAAGGTCAGCTGGAAATGGGGAGTCAAAAAGTGTTTGCGGTTTTGTAACAGGGCCTGAACTATAAAATTATAGTTCAGGAAAGAGGAGGAAAGAGGAGATGGCTACAATGTAACTGTCCAACAGCATGAAATACCTGTCTGAAGGCAGTACATGAGTGCTGTTTTAGTCACACTCAGTTGCACTGGTCCAAGCAAGGAATAAGCAAGTGTAATCAGGACTGTGATTTAATCAAGCAAATTTGAGAACGGGCAAGACAGCTAAGCATCATTCCTCACAAATCACAACAGATGGCTGCAGTGAGTGAAAAGATGAAGGAAAAAAGGATGTCAGGGGATTAAATGTCGGCAAAAAGGTGGAAGGATCAAGGGAAATCGTGGAAAGCAGGAGAGGGATTGGTAGCAAAGGGAGACACAACGTACAATCTAGAGAAACGCACTTTAGAATTCAGAGGAACTAAAATTGTTTTCAATAAAATGGGAACTGGAGAATAGCTAGCCAAATAGTTAAGCACCTCAAAAATAGTTTATCTTGTTAATGGCAAAAGAAATAGATCAGTAAATATATTTGTTAGTAAAAATGAAATTTTAAGTGCAGGATAAATCTGTGTACACACATAACTTGTAGATGTAATTAAATTAATGAAAGAAATGCCACATATTTTGACAACTAAAAATTTCCTAAGTCAGAGTGCTGGTTCTACTATTTCTTATGACTACAAACTAACGTTTTCACTATTTCTTTAAAAATTAAGGACTGTTTAACTAAAACATAGGTTATGAAATATCTGTACAGAAGAAAATCAAAGGCATGCTATATACATTTACAGTAATTTCTAACAGTATTTAGCAATATTCATAGAAAAACTTTCAAATTAAGAATGGTATTCACAGCAATATGATATCCAATCTTTTTATATATAACTATGTAAAAAATTCCAACACTTAGAAGCAGGCATTAAGTAACTCTTTAATCCAGGTACCTTCACAAAAAATGATGCACCTGGAAATCAAAGTTCTGTCAAACACACAGAATGAAGGAATTAAATGCCAATGGGGAGAGCAGCCCTTGCTTCTGGATTATAATGTCGCAGGAACGGATAAAATAAAGTCAGGATGCTATTTTTCCATTCTATCCATTACCTGTACTGGTGGCAGAGTTGCTCTGCCCCTCATCTGAATACTGACAAGGATACTGTAATGGCTCATCTGCTCCTGGAAAGTACTAGACACAAAAAGAAAGTCACAATTTAAACAATTTTAAATTACATCCTTTTAAAATTAATTTGAAATGTTTGGTTAAATTATTTTCTTAGAAATCTGACTGCAGCAAAGATGCAGCTTTATTTTCTGTAAGGCATATACTAGATTTGAAGAGCCCTGAGTTTTGATTCTATAGAGTTGACAGGACAAACTCCCTTCTGAAACCAACTGCAGACAATGCCATGCACCTGTGTAAGCATCTACTTTATAGGGAGCCTAGATAGTGTTGAGGAAAACAGCAAATATTCTCTAGAGGAACATATGGAATAGAGCAGCATCATTTCTCACAACTATATGAAACACATTCATGTTCTCATACCAGTGACATCAATTTCCAAACTGTTGCGATGACTGTTAGTCTGACAACTGAGACTGGTAAACCACGTAGAACTGTGAGGACTAACATTTTAATTATAGAATGCCTCTCTATGAATTAAGTACATTAATATTAAAAATATTTGCTGGATAAAAAATTAGAAGGAAAAAGAAAAATCCTCTCAAATACATAGCACATATGAATAAAAGAATAAATAATTTAGATAGCCTAAAGTTTTAATTATCTCAAGATACTTCAGGTTTGCCTTCACTCACATACCGTTAGAGTCTACGGTTCTATCTACAGCTAGTTCAAGTTATTGCCTTAGTTATTTTCACAGAATAGACAAACTAAATCTTCTGCCATTTAAGAAATCACCTGAGTCTATAGTTGAGAAGATTATAAGATTCTCCTGCTGAACAAATAATTCATTACTTTCATAAGTAATTCAACTTATTTTCTTTTTTTTTTTTTTTTTTTTGTCTTTTTCTTTTTTATTGGTACTGGGGATTGAACTCATGACCACACATTTGCAAGGCAGACACTTATGCCGCTGAGCTAAATCCCCAGCCCTTAATTCAACTTATTAAAGCTAAACTACCACTTTATGATTTTTATTAGCATTCCAAAAAACTGAAAGCTTAAAATATGTAAAATAATTCTAAAATATTTGATTTACAGACTAGGAAAATTTGTCATCTGAAAAGGGTTCTTCTAAATTAAAAGTTCCATTATCCACCCCCCCCCGAGATTTGTAGGTGTGAGAATGTAACCTCTCTAATGCCCGCATAAATAACTGGATTCCTGATGAAAATCCCTACCAGAAAATTTAAAACTTAGGTAAGCATGCTATTAAAGTCTTATATACCTAAGTCCTGTGAAGGCTTTAGGTCTAATCTAATCCCGCTTTTCTCACATTACAGATTAGACAGTACCTCCAAAAACAAATAGTGATGTAAGCAGTATGAAAACTCAAGTCTAGAAAACGACCCTAGCCATCTTTTCATTATAAAGAACTACATTTTTCCCCAAAAACAATGTTTACTCTTCTGGTTATGTGAGTAATAAATACCTACTCTTACTTGGAAAATACAAAGTATAAAACTCAGTATATATTTAAATTCCCTTAAACCTAAAGCCCCTCTAAAGAAGGTTTATACCCGCATCAAATGAGTCATTATTTTCACAATTTCTTCCATTGAAGGGCGCTGAGAAGGATCTTTCGACCAACAACGAGTCATCAGGCTCTCAATGGGCTTAGGTAAATTTTTGATCAATGGAGGTCGAGTACCTAAATTAAAAAGTAGAGGAAAGGGAAAGAATGTATTTACCCAAAGAACAGTGCAGGCTTTTTATACATTTCTCAAGCAGTATTTATTTTACAGACATTGTAATCCAAGATGTATATTTTTGGATTAAAATACAGTAGACCCTTAACATATGAACTCCATTCATTCCCAAGGGCTGCCTGTAACTCAGGTTGAAGGCTCAGGCTCCTCTGAATGGCCTTCAAGGTCTCTCTCCTGGAGGCAGGTAGATCTCAGAGTCCTTAGACAATGGCCCAGGATTTCTCAACCCATACAGGAGAGGACATTGTAATGTTCCTTCCAGAACTCTGTAAGGCCTGGATTTGTATCTGAGACCATCTAGAAGCCTAAGTAGGAAGCATCTGGGTCACAACTCAAGACTTAGGTTGTAAGTTAAAATTAAAGTTAAAATTAAAATTCTGGCAATAACCAAAGCTGTTCATAGGACAGACAAGTTGTAACTTGATGGTCCACTGCACTTTTTTGTCTTTTAGATTAACATTTATTTTACCTATGTATATTTTCACAAAAGAGAAACCATACCTTCAAAAACAACACATTATGGTAACAGTAAAACTTAGAATTAACAATATTTGATATGACATAAACAGTATTTTAACATAGCAGAGGCTTAAAGTGTTTCATTAAGTAAAATGATGGTTTGAGGAAACTTGACCTGTATTTTCAAATTCATTGCAAAAATTTCAAATGTATTAAAAAATCATCTTCTGTATTCAGAACATTGTTAACTATGACATTAAACTGACTTCCAAAAGAACCTTTTGTGTAGTTACGATTGTTGTGAATCAATTACTTTTAAAAGTTAAAACTGTTGAATTTTTGTAACTATTAAGGTCTCTATATAAAGAAGCCCTCGAATATGAGATCTCTGTAATTTAACCAATTAACAAGTTAGTTCTTTGATGCCTTCTTTCACTGACATTCAACTGAGAGACAGTAAAAATAAACTATCTTAGTTAACGCTGTAGTGTTCTTCACAATGAAGTTTAAGGCAGTAACACTGAGGTTAGCTGGGAAACTGATAAAATAGCTAGGATCACTCTCATGGTGGTACTGTTTGACCAATCTATAAATGACCTAGACAGATAAAATTTATTTTTAATCACTTAGGAAATAGTGTATAAAATGTATAAAAATATATTAATCAGAATAAGTATAGTCAAGCAATAGGACTGAAATACTAAGAAAGTAATTTTCCTTTACAAAAAGATTATTTTCTCATGCAAAGATAACTTCATTAATGAAGATGCCCTCTAACATATAAGCATATGTGATTAGAAATTTTACTAGAAATATAAAAGGATCTGAGGGATGTAAGATCGCTGAATTCTCAAGTTAGTATCACTTAAAAATATGAGACTTGAGTTAGAAAGACTGGGATTCACTGAGTCTCAGCTTTACCATTGAGGAATCTTGTGACATTAGCCAAGGTATTTAACCTCTCTAGAACTTAAGTTTCTTAATTTGTATGACAAAGCAACAGTACTCACTCCATAAAAATGGCGAGAAAATATAACCCAAGGGTGAGAACTACTCTAGCTGTGCACTAATGGTCTCTGCCCTGGTGCAGCCAGTAAATCCCCTCAGCCCCATAGGGAGCCAGAACTCTCGCACTGTGCTGCTGGATCTGGGAGCAGAAGACGGTAATGGGAAAGTAGTCGGGTAACAAAGAACTGTACACTTTAATGTCAGGGATAAGTGGCCTTTAGGTGTGGTCATAGGAACAGTCTTTCAAAGAGGAAATGTACACAATATATAAAAGAAAAGTTTCCTTTCACAAACCATTATGAACAGCCCACATGATTCGGAAAGCTGGGCCGCCAATCTCATCAAAAGGTTTCCGACGCGTTATCACTTCCCAAAGGATAATACCCCAGCTGAAGACATCACATTTTTCACTGTAATTGCTACCTAGAAAAGAAGGCAGTATAATCTTGAGACTTTTTCTCCACATGAGTTATACAAACAACAGGTTTCATAAATTTTACAATGGGTATCTGGACAAAAATAAGATGCTATCACATACAGAGCTAAGAAACATTGTTTTGGAAATATAGTACCTAAATCTTTTCAACAAACACATTTTTAAAAATGAATTAAGTATCAACAACACAATGAGAAATGTACTTTGGGAAGTCATCTATTTTGTATCTTTTCATCAGGAGGCACAGGCCTTGGCTTTTTTGTATACTTGGACTGATCCTTCCTTTAGGGCACAGCATGAAAATGTCAACAACTCTCTCCCATGTATGTATTTATTTTAGGGTAATCTGGGGTTGAATCCAGGGTCTTGCACACACAAAGCATGTGTTCTACCACTGAACTACAGCCCTCTGTAAATTTTTAATTTTAAATTTTGTCCCCATTCTCCAATGTATAGTATAACTTTGCTATCAAAGCAAAAGCATTTCTAATTTAGTGCTTTTCTCTCAATATAAAAGAGACAAGGGACTTAGCTGAGTGGCTTATCTGCTTCCCTGGCAAATGTGAGGTCTTGAATTCGATCCCACTTCCAGAAAAAAAAAAAAGGCAAGAAAAACAGATAAAAATCTCAATTTGTAAACTTAAAAATCAAATGATAAAAATTATGGATAATAGATTTACACTAAGCAGATTATATAGTACAACTTAAGAGAACTAATTTGGTGGGTCAACTGACACAACCCACCAACCCTCCCCCACGAATGTACCCCCGTCGAGTTACAGTAATTCCTACTGTTATAGTGATAGCTAGCTTCACATGCTAAGTGGCACACTGCAGCGCACTACAGCAATGACACTGCCATCTAACTGGGTCTGCTGGTGCCTCCAGATGATATTTTCCCGAGATCAAGGATGTGGTGCTGGGCTTGATTCATGATGCAATGCTAGGATTAAGGGTGTGAATGTCATGGGTGGGTAGCCCGGATAAAAATGTAAGGGACAGAAAGGGCTGCTGCTGTCATATTTTGTTACTTTCCTGCTGCCTTCTTCCCTGCTGGGCCATGAACTGTTTCTGCCCTGTGATGTCCCTGCCTTGGAGCCAGCTACTCTACAAAGTGCAAGCCAAACAAACCTTTTCTCCTTTAACTTTGGGTGTTGGGTGTTTTGTCTCAGCAATGAGAAAAGTAATTAAGACAAGTGTCAAACATATGTATTCCATATACGTGATAGGATTATCTTCAGAGGATAAAAGATGCTTCCAAAAGTTGAGGAGTATAAGACAAAAGAGGCCTTTATTTCAGGAACATGGGGAGAGAAGACTGGCGCACTGGCCGCTGGAATCTGGCGATCTCTCTCGCGGACACGTGGCGTGGGGGAATATAAATAGCCTAAGCTTAGGGCAGTGCCCTAAGGCCATTAGAGATGCACAGGTATTTCATTGGCACACGTTTGGTGCCAGGGACAGGTTCTTAGGGATGGGGGTATAGGGTTACAGGTAAATCTATAGGGGCGGGGGAGGCAGGAGCCCCTTAATTTGGCTGAGGCCTCTCCTGGTTAAAGTGTCCGGTCTGGGCCAGCAACTCTTTCAATACGAAATACAGGACATTACTTAATTTTGGATAATTTAACACTTGCTTGTCCATTAACTTTTTCATTAAATTTTTAAGCAAAATAATCCCACTCAAGTGACAATGCAGCATATATAATTCAAAGATACTCCTTTAGATCCTGAATGAGCTATGAAAGTATAAAAAAGTACATACAATATAAACTTGGTCTTTATTTGTAGTTCTCGGTATATATTTCTGTCCAGAAATTTATTAAAGACATGCTTATTTGAATTTTATACTTTTTAACTTGTAATTGCTAGAAAACCAGTACTAAGCATGGTTTATTCTCATTATTGCTGGCATTTATGTTTTTTAAGCCTCCATGAACACTAACTTAGTCACACTGAATCATTTTTCCTTGGGGGAAATATAAAGTTAAGTTCCTGAATACCTCTGTTGCAGAAATTTTGTCAATTTATCAATATAAAATTTTATTTTATCTTTGTTTCTGTTTAAAAACATCTTATTTAACATGATTTCTTAACACTGAACTTATAACACTGTAAATTATGCCTGATGAATACCATCTAACATGTACCTTCTTATATTCTCTTACATAATTCTAGCCTTCTTGTACTTAGGCAGCAGAGCAGGTTTAAATGGAAAAATCACTGTAAGAATGGAGAAGACACTGCTCTGGATAGATGGCAAAAAGGCGCCTTGTTTACAGTATTAGTAAAGCAGCAAGGTGGAGCAAGCTTGCTGGGCGAGCTCAAAAGGTGTATGCACTGCACATTTCTACTGCTTGTAAATATTGTCCAAGTGTCACAAGCACTGATTTGGGAGTTAAAAAGGAAATTTAACAAGTAGGCCATTTTGTAATCACAGAACCTGTGAACAGTTAGAATCAACTATATGTATTCTTGAATCTGCACAAAACATGCCAATTTAAGCCCTGCATTAAACAAGGGATCTAAATCACATTTACTTAAAACATAGACCAATATATCCTTCAAAACTACCTACTATGTAGAAAACATGGAAATACAGAAACTATGAACACATATTGGATTCATATGTAGAGGCAGATTATCAATCACATTATGGTTTTATTCTAAATACCTTCAAAAACTTCAGGTGCCATCCAAGCAGCACTCCCCTTGTTATTGGTCATATGTGTCTGAATGTCACAGGCTGTACCAAAATCACAGATTTTTAGAACTGTCCCTCCTGCAACGAGCAGCAAACTGTTGGGGAAAAAAAAAAAAAGAAGTTAAAAAGCCAATATTTGATTCTAGAATAAGAGGGGGCAATTGCGGAGATGGAAAGAGTTAAACAAATATTATTAAACTTCTGTGAAATGTTACTTGGTCACTGTAACAGCTTAATAGTTCAGAGAAATATCAGCAAAAATTAACTGACCACAACCTAGAGCTCTCTTAGGGAGCCTTCTCTTTTCTTTTCCTTTTGACACCAGGCCCTTGCCCTTACCAGGCTGGTTATTATGCCACTGAACTATCCCCAGCCCTAGGGAGCCTTTAGACTCACATTCTGATGTCCCTACCACCAGCTCCGTGGTCTTTCCTGACCATATTTCTCTCTGGCCAAAATAAAACATGAATTTAAAAAAACTTCCAATTATGGTGTCATGAAATGGCAGTTTAGTCATAAATTAAAGATAAAAATAAGTTAATACATAAGGGAAAAAATGGTCTTTCTGTTAAATGCCTTTATTTTGAAGATGTTTCTGAAAATGTCCAATCCCCAAACCATTTTCCCATTGAGAATAAGAGGCTTGGAGGAGTCCAAGTCTATGTGGTTAAAATGACCTAATGAAAGACTTCTTGAAAATTTTCTCAATTTAGAATTCTGTAGGTATCATTATTACCCAACTAAAATTCCTTAGTAAACTGTTCTTGGAAGGTTTTGGTTTTCCTGACAAACAGAAAGATAGATGGGTAATGTAATTTGCATAATTATACCATAGTAATACTCCATAGCAGGCAGTACATGGAGTCTCATTTTACTTATGAATTTTTACAAACTTTTGTATATAACTTTGTACTTAAATTCTAACTGGAGAGATTTAGAAAACCAGCTCTCTTTAAGTCCACTGTGATTAAGACAGATCAGATAAACTGTTATTCATATCTTCATATTACCAAAAATCCCTCTATGATAACTCTATGAGGTGGAAAAAATATGTAAGTGTAATTTTGTCTAAATACAATTCAAGTGGTGGTGCATGACTGTAATCCCACCACTTTGGAGGGTGAGGCAGAAGGATCATTACAAGTTTGAGACCAGCTTGAGCGACAAAGTGAGCTCAAGTCCAGCCTAAACTGCATAGTGTGACTGTTACAAACAAACAAACAAAACATTTTCTCTTGTCTCACTGTTTTTGCTCAAATTCTTATTATTCCACACTCAAAGCAAATTATAAGTACTCTGTAACTGCCTTCCTTGTTTTAACCTCGTACATTCACTATAATTGTTTTTTGAGTAATTTTTATATTAATAGAGCTTTATTCATGAGACTTTCTCCAACCCTAACCATGACATTCAACATGACTGAAATCTAAATTTAAATTATTTTCATAGCCAAAAATAAAAATGCCATGAATCTAGAGTTTAAATGTTATTTTACCAGGGATCGGTTAAAAAGAAAACATTTTAAGCTGTGAATTGGAAAAAATGTGCATTAGTACTAACAATGATTCCAGGATTTTAAACCTCTGTAGAATGCATCAGATTAGACATGATAATGAGCTAGATCCAGAAAGGATGCTTTAAACCTGTATCAAGAAGATGAAATAATTTATGACTACACTACTTCTTTGTGAGTAGGACGCCTCTTAGAATCTGAAGACTGATATGATAGTAGAGAGAAGGTAAGTGAAGGCCTTCTTTCTCCTTCACATGTAAGTAAAAAACGTAAAAAACAGAAAGAATGGAAAATACATTTCTCACGTATCTTTTCTTAACTTAATTGAATACTCATAAAACAAATAAAAATTCAAAAGTTTCAGCTGTCTTTTGGTTCCAGGAATTGAACCCAGGCCTAAAGTATGCCAGGCACATGTTCTATCGCTGAGCTATATCCTCAGGTCCTGGATTCAGCTTTTTAAAGAATTTTAAAGTTCTTTTAATTCCCAGCATTCTCAATATGGAGAAATCTGGAATATTTTCAGCCTCCATTATCTGACAGCAATGATTTTTTGCTTTTCCCTAAAAAGACAAGTAATATCACTTTACAAAGTTTTGCAGAAAATCTACCATGTATGGATATTGTGCTAGTTGTTAGAATACAGTATGGGTGACGTCAGATTTGTTTTGCTCAAAAATGACTCTCTAGTAGCAAGATCACATGCTGCAGGTACAAATTATATTTGGCTAACATTCTAAGAGTATGATAATCTAAGGCAGGAGTTATTAAAAATAAAAATCCCCTGAAAAGCAACATCCTAAAATGTCAACTCAGGTAAATAATTAAATGATGAAGGTGAATGAAAAATACTCTTGAATAGGCCAAAAGGGAAAAGAAAAGAGAAACTCATGGGCAAATAATTACCTAGAATTAGGGGGGGTAGGAAGCAGAGGAAGTGAGGGAGGAAAGCTGGGTGTCACACTACCCACTTACTTCGGTGGTTTCAGGTCCCTGTGAATTAGAGCTTTGGGTTGCATGCTGTGTAGGTAAGCCACTCCTTGGGAACACTGTAAACACCAACTCATTGCATGGGCAGCAGTGTAATACGGCAATGGTTCGGCACCATGCAGCACTACAAAAGAAAGGCACAAACTAAAAAGAATTTTATTGCATATAACAAAAGATACAATGTGGATGCAAGCACTAAGGCAACACAGATGGGTATTTTTCTACCTACGATCCCATTAGTCCCTTTTATTTTCTAAATAAACAAGATGGAAATCTCGTAATTTTGAGAGGATAACTGTCTCCTCAGTATTTAACATTTAAAATGATCTCTAGTTATTGTTATGTTATTCATACATCTAAATAAAAATAATATACAACATCACACTTTTTCAAATTGATAGATTTCCACAAAAATAAAAATTATGACCACCTTATTATGAGCATGCATCATGCTAACTATACAAGAGATACAGAGCAACAGTACAGAAACAAGATGCTTACAACTATATTACCAGTTAAAACTGGTGTCCAACCCAATAAAATAATGGGATATTAGGTACCCATCAACAGCAAGAAACACACAGGCACAAAGTAAAAATTTGCATAAAATATTAACCTAAAAATAAACATTTTTATTATATGTAATTGTTACTAAAGTACATTATACTTATTTACATGGCTAATATATTTAGAGTGAAAAATCTCTATTCCACAAAGGTAATATGTGGTACACAAAATCTTAACTGTTACAATTAAAATTATCTGTGAATTGAGTTTTCACAATTTTTTTTTGAAAAGTAAACAGTGATAAGGAAGAATGGTTAGTTCTAAAATGATGAGGCTCAAAGCTTAAAGTAGTCACAAAGAAGAAACATTTGAATGTATTTTAAAATCTATTTAAAAAATACATTTTACTTTACTTAAATGTTTTTAACATAATGGAAGTATTATCAATTTAAAAACTGATAAACTTCCAAATTTCATATACTAATGTGGCATCTTATGTTTTAATTTTAATCTTTGAAAAACTTCTTTTGGAACTCTGATAGCACACTGTGAAAGAATTAAGTTGCCTATGATTTACACTGAAAGTTTTCAAGTTATTTTAATCTACTATATACAGACAGATGTAATGATACTCACCATTATATAAAGAGCCCCCTTCAGCATATTCCATCACAAGACATACCTAAAAGAAATGCATACCAGAAGAATTAACTAGAGCTATAGTAACTTAAGGGGCCAGAGAGTTCATTTAACCTCTGAATTTTAAAGATGCATGAAAAATTATTCTTTTGGCCTCTATTATGTAAAAGCCTCCACAGGAAGAAAAAATAGGTATCTGTAAAATCTTGTCTTCTAAGAGTACTAAAAGAGGAATTATATATAAAAAACATAATCACAAAATCTTTGGGGATTTTCTGCAGTGCTAATATGTTGATGCTTTCAAAAGCTTTCTAAAGCTTTATAAGAAGGTAAGTTTATGTATGCAATTCCTCCAATATACTGTTTTGTTAAAAGATTAGAAACAAATTAAACCTATAAAATACAACTGTTTTCTCAGAATACAACTGAGACATCAGATCAAAATAGCTTCATAAACTACATCTGTCAAATCACAACGAAAAAGTTACAGACTTACTGGATTCAAGCAGGCTCCATACAACTTTACAATATTAGGATGGTTCACACGGGACAATTGGCGAAGCTGTAACAAATTAAGGATGCTTTTAAAGTAATTTTTGAGAAGCTGATTTTATGACATTGTTAAAATCCTAAGGTCTTACAAAATATTTTTAAGAATCATTTGGCAATTACCATGTAGTAAGCACTGTGATCACAGGCCCTAGAAAATACCAAAGCCTGGTCAGAATGACACAGAATCACTGTCCTCCAGCTGTTTAGTTCTGAAGACAGACATAAAGAAAAAAGCATGTAAAGTGCTGTAATAGGAGCTATGAACAAGACATAATTAGTAAGTAGAAGAAACTAAGCATGACGCGACATCAGGACATAATCCCCGACAGCACTGAGTAGAGGTATCTAAGTCAAAGGCCACGTTCCTTTTGTCACCATCATCTGTACAGCTACAGGTGAACAGTCTATTCACTTTGTGTATGGCTCTGTCTTACCATAACTAATTATCATAATTATTATAGCTCTGCAAGGTATCATCATTTTCATTTTAAAGGTGAGATCTAAAGGTTAAGATTTAGAGAAAATTAAATGGGTTATGAAAAGTGCTACAGCTAGGGCTTGAACTTTTTTGGACCATCTGACTTATTATGTACTCTTTCCGCATACTTGGCTCTAATTTCATTTTCTATCTTGAAGTAACGCCCCCTTCTCCACAGCTCCTGCCTTAGGAATTCTACCCTGACCCGCTGCGGTGATCACTGCGGACTTCTCCTGGCTGCTGTTTTAATCTTCCCTGATCCAGCAGTTCACACTGAAGTCCGCGAGTGGTTTGGCCGTATTCATGTTCCTTTTTCCGCATCTCAGACTCCTACTAATGTACCTCCCTGAAAAAGGCTGTTTCTGGCTTTCTTTTTTCTTTCTTCCTGTCTCTTCTTCCTATATAAGGCTGCAAGTTCAGATGAGGTCTACCCCTTTTACTATATGCCACAGAAAGCTTTATCCCTTATAGCCAACATTTATGTAATTTGTTAACTTAACTGAAAAAATACCATGAATTTCTGTAGTTACACAGTACCAATAATCGACAATGCAGACCCGAAAGAGCTGAGTTATAAACTGGTACTGGGAAAATTGAGAAGCAACCAGACTTATCTCAAAACTTCCAAGAGATACAGTGGTAGCATCAGGTACCTAATAAAGGGGAGTAGAGAGCAAATGGTTGAAAGCCCCAAGGAGCCCTTTCCTCACTGCACACAGCTCGGTACCTACAGCAGACCATCCTCCGCAGACTAGAGACTACAGTCTTTAGAGAAGGTGTAAAAAAGCAGCTACTGGACTGGGGGTCACCAAGCACCAGTGAAGAGATAAGCCTAAAGTAGCTGCTCTGGGAAGCAGGAAATTAGATGAGGGACAATACAGGGGATTTAGGTTTCATCACTAAAAAGGTTAAGGAATCTTTTCCTCTTTAAACGGACTACTGAGTCCAAGCATTTAACAAATATGCTATTTCTCTCAGCTGAGTGAAACTGCCGACACAACAGTATGTGATCAATGACCTTAGCTAACCACAAACAAAAACCACGACTAGAGCAAGGCTTAGGCAGTCAGATCACTGCAGCATATGATTAAAGATTATCTTTCCTCTTGATCGTATTAAACCATCACCAGTGTTTCTCCTTGCAGCCATGTCAAATTACTTTACCATAACGCAATTAACTTTTCATTTCTGTTATATATTAAAAATATAAAGTACTGTATATTTTAAAATTATACTAAAAGAAAAGACATAAATTCAGAAGACTTAAAGAGAAAAGTTTAGCTAATAAATGATAAAAATGTTGATTTTATCGAATATTCTGGTCTAATATACAGAGTAACACACAATAAGGAATAAATCTGAAAACACAATAATCTTACTAATGAAATTTTCCTTCAACATCCTATCTGTGAAAGAACAGAACTGTAAATATTCATGTTAAGGAAAACAAATTTGAAATTATTTTTCTTTAATGTCATTTGAATTTTTAAAAATTCAACTAAAAAATGTACACATAAATTTCCCAACTTAATTTTAAAGTGTGAAGGAATATTAATTCTTTTCCATTTCAAAATTAAAATATTATGCCTTAAAATAGATCTGAATTCCATGAATGAGACTACATATTAATTCAAGGATGAATTAATTTATATAATAAATCTATTTCCCCCTAACTTTAAATCAGACTTAAAAGTAGAATGATGAAATGTTCCTACACCACCTCCTCTGGTTTCGCCAAATTGCTGAAGCTGTTTATAGAGAAGTGCCATCTGAGGAACTATGCCTTTCACATGTTAAATTCAGAGTATCTCAAGTGAAGAATTATAGAAAGGTCAAATCAACTTACCTCTACAATAAAAGCTTTCCTCTCAGATTCACTTTCTATTTGCTTAATAGCCACATCTTTTGCTCTCCACTTTGCTTTGCAAACTACTCCAAAAGCTCCTCTTCCAACAACCTGAGTTTAAAGAAAAATCCACATGCATCAGAAGCAAACAGATCCAGCTCAGCATATAACATTGAAGTTGAATTACAGAAAATTTAGAAATAGTGTAATTAATACTGGATTTGCCACTTAGTAGAAGTGCTCTGGTTTGATCGTTTGTTTGTTTTTGTTTTGGTACCAGGAATAAACCTCGGGGCCTCACATTTGTCAGGCAGTGCTGTGCCCCTGAGCTATATCCCAGGTTCTAGCCTGGCTCTTAAGTGTCACCCAAAAGCTCATGAATTGAAATCTTGGTCCCCAGATAGCGCTGTAAGAGTGGCAGAATCTTTGCAAAGTGCGACCTTCTAGGAGGCAGTTAGGTCACTAAAGGTATGCCTCGCCTCGGAAATTACTCTCCTTTTCTCTCCCTTCTTCCTCCCCTTTTGTTTCCTAGTGGCCATGGAGTGAAGAGACCTCTGTCATGCATTCCTTGCCCTCATGTTGTGTCCTGCCACATGCCCAAAACAGGGTTAAGCAAACACAGACTGAAACCTCCAAAGCTGTGACCCGAAATAAGCCTTTCCTCCCTGCAGTTATTTATCTTTGGTATTTTGTCACAGTGATGAAAAGCCATCCCATGAGGTAAGTAAGAAATCTCACTGAAGTGGAAGATAATGACATGAAGTTCCAAAAGCTTTGAAAAAGTATGGTCTAGACACTCCATTCTCAAGTACAGGTAAAATTTAAAAAAAGATGAAAGCATAAACAAAGTAAAGAATTTATTAATTGCATAAAAAATTAACATGGGTAAGATAAGAGTAGAAAGAGTTAGAAACATAAAAATAAAGGGCAGGAACATATGATAAATGTTTTAAGCTACTTATAAAACAACTGAGTAGAGATACGGGATACGGGGGAAAGGATTAAAAACGTAGATGAAAAAGGCTCAGTCATGGTGAAGGACACACAATGCAGCGTTACTTATACATGGAATATACTCAGCAAAAACCACAAAGTCCTGATACATACAGCAACACAGACAACGTCAACATTATACTAGGTAAAGAAGCAAGATACTAGAGGCAACATGTGAGATTTCATGTCCATGAAAGAAAAATCCATAAAAACAGAAAGTAGATCGGTAGTTACATAGCACTGAGGGGGAAAACCGGAATATAAACTGGTAGCATGTACCCAGCCAAGGTGATGACATGGTCGACAACGGATTTATTTTGATGGCTGGCGAATGACAGATTTACAGAAGTCACTAAATTGTACACTTCAAATGAATGAATTTTTATCCCATCTTTTCTAAGTTGACTATAACAAAGCTAACTCTAATTAGTAAGATCAAATGCTTTAGGGGTTGGGGATTTAGCTCAGCACCTCAAGCGCTTGCCTGGTGAGCACGGGATCATGAGTTCAATCCCCAGTACCAAAACAAAACAAAGATCAAATGATTTATTATTACCTACACTGTGGACACTTATGTAGCAAGTAAAAAGGGGGCACTGGTAACAGCTCTAACACAGTAGCTGCAATTTGGATATATAAGCACTCCATCCATGGTTCAAATCCTACTTCAAGAGTCACATAAAACAGCATTAACATTTATCATATTGCTCAATATATAAAGCCAACCAAATGGTTAACATTTATTGAATGTTTATCATATGGCAGGTATTATGTTTTTCATTTAATACATTTAATCCGGCTCTATCTTAAAATGTAAACAAATGGAGTCAGAGGATCGCAATTTATTTAAGATCACATGGTCAAAAAGTATTCAGAGGCCAGGATTTGAAGTTTAGAGTATGTAGTGACCAGCACATTGGGCTTTCAGCGTCCTTCTGTCACTGGCTAAAGCAAGCGACCAGCTCTAGGGTAAAATGCAAGGCAGGCCATCTGTGGAATCTGGTCTTTCCTTTGGTGAGTTTTTCTGTTATGTTTCTAGTCCTATGTTTTCAGGGTCCTTCTGATGTTCAGGCTCTTCTCCTTCACACCTCTCAACCTCCATCCACTTTACTTTTCCTTGAATGAGTGCTGGCTCCCTGGCATTATTAGAATAACACAAAGAGCACTCTAGGCTCCAGAACCAGATCTGAATTTGTAGACTCTATTTACATGTCAGCTCTTGATGCTGAAATAGTTAATGTCTTTGAGCTTCTGTTTTTGCATGAGTAAAACAGAGATGTTTTTACATATCTTTCTTTTTAATTAGTGAATTTCTATAGGGCTTCTTCTAAGCATTTCCCTAAATACTCCCAAAGAATAACAAATGCTCGTAGTTTAGTATGAATGAGTATAAGATGCTAGAACATTTATTTCTATCAAACTAAGATGAACAGCAAACATCCTAAATTTTTTTATGACCACATTAAGAAGATATAGACTAACCTACCTGTTGATATCAGAATTATGAACAAATGATTTTGAGTAAGTTCGTATATTCTTCAACCATGTATTTACAAATATATCAGAGCAACTGGTAGTTAGGAGGACTTGTCTCTGCTTCATTTCTCTATTCTGAAAAATGTTCACGAAGGGATTCCAAACATTACGTACATTCATGGATCATACACTTGTCTGAACTGTTTGGGGCTCGTATTACCATTTGTGATCCATGAGTGACACCTAGTGATAAAATGATGGCTGATTCCGAGTCAATTTAAAATCATGGGAACACAATACTATATGGGCAATTGAGGACATGGTAACTTTTCTCTTTTGCTTGAGACAATAATTTTCCAGAATACTCTGAAATATGAAAGTCCATGATTTCAAGAAGCTCCACTCTCATTAAAGATACAAGATTCTTCACATGCAGAGTGAAATAATAGAATGTAAAATGATAATGCAAGGAGTCCAAAGCAATACATATAAACTGTAACATATCAAAGAACTGCTCTGAATTCAAAGGAATAAAGTTACAAGGACAAAGCTCAGATGGTGAAAGAATTAAATTCCTGTGTATCAAAAAATGACTTCCACCATCACGTCCCTGTAAGCATCTCACTCTTCTGTTTAAGTTGCTTTTATACTATTTTGTTTTGTATCAACTTATTATGTGTGAAGGTATGGACAATTATTTCAAAGAATAAAGGAGACATTATAGTAGCTACTGTTGATTTCCTGTTGTCTTGAAGTCCTGTGTCATTTGCATTGTTTTACTGTGATCTGTTTTGTTTTGGTTCACTTTATTTTATTCTTTTTAAAATAATAATAAAAAACTTTCCTTGGGGCTGAGGTGGTGCTGTAACAGTAGCACTGGGGTCTAAGGCAGAAGGACCACAAGTACAAGGCCAACCTAAGCTGCACAGTGAGTTTAACGCCATCCTGGAGTACACAGCAAAACCTTGTCTCAAAATAAACCACCCCCAGAAAACAAACAAACAAAAGAAAAAAACCCAATCAACCAATCAATTTGAGGTATATCAGATGATGGTTTGGGACTATAACTTAAATTCTGCTAACTGTTATTAAAGCTACTGTACCTAGTCTTGCATGCTTTATGATATATATATATATATATATATATATATGTATCTTATACACACAAGTATCCCAAACTGCACATATATAAACCAGAGTGCTTTATTTTACTGGTGGAAAATAATTTTTAAAAAATTTAGAGGCCATTGCTCTAATAGAATTCACTGATAAATCAGTTACTGGGGCTGGGGATTTAGCTCAGTGGCATAAGCAGCACCTGCCTTGCAAGCAGGTCGCTGTGAGTTCGATCCCCAGTACTGATTAAAAAAAAAAAAAGAAGAAAGTCAAGTTACTGTCTGCAACTTAGCTCTCTCAGACTGACAGTATAAAACAATTCTCTGCTGTTGGGGGAAAATATTAACAGTGTACAAATTTTTAAGAAAATGCCTCTTTCTCCCAAGGTTTTGAACACTGGCCAGGTAAATATCAGTGAGTTACACCTCTAGCACCTATTATTTTAAGACAAGCTCTTCCTAAATTACCCAGAGTGGCTTTATACTTGTGATTCTCCTGTCTTAGCTACCTGAGTAAGACAATGAAAATGTTTTTATTTTGTAAATTTTTAAATATTTATTTATTTAGTCTTTTTAAAGACAGGTTTTACTATGCAGTTCTGGCTGGCCCTGAACTCACTGTGCAGCCCAAGCTGGTCTCACAGCGATCCTTCTGTCTCCACCTCCTGAGTGCTTCAATTAGTGTTTGCTGAGTTAAATGTTTTACATTAATTCTCTCCAGGTATGTATTTATGGTTTAGTTCTTTTGATTTCGGGGGGGGGGGTCTACAACTCATTAAAGCAGACTTAAATTTAATAAAAAATAAATGATATGAGTGTATAAATATTTTTATGAAATTATTGTAAAAAGGCACAAAAATCACAGAATTTGTGTGTGTGTGTTTTAAGAAACTGATCCTGTTAAAAACTAAATTCTGTATGGTAAAAGATTACTATATTCCTTCATGCAAGTCAAAATAACCAAATGCATAAACTGAACTAACTTCCTGGAAAAGGAATACGCCCTTGTGTTCTTGATTTACTATGAAATAGTTCATCTTTATTGTCCCCAACTAAGGTTATTTTTAGTTCAGTGACTATAGCCATTAGTTTGGTTGGCCCTGTTCTATGGGCTATGTGAATGGACCATTGGCTATGCTGGCTAGAAATCTGGAACATGACAGAACAAGTACAGATCTAACATTTATTAGTTAGGACTTGGGGCCTCCAACTATTTCAGAACTTCAATAGCTATTAATAAACTGTGGCACAGGAGAATTGTCATCTGCTGACAAGACAGACGATATAAAAAATAAAGCTTTGATTCTTTCTTCTGAATTCTTCATATAGTGTCTTAAAGCCTGCCATAAAATGTCTTACCCATTTAATAGGACATTCCTTTAATATTCTCAGTTTATCTTTTAACGTATATATGCAGGATTAAGAAATATTACCTCTGTCATGACTTTACTACAACAGCCATTCCAAATTTCTGCTGAAATCAATGGTCACTTAAGTTTTACAGGGAAAAGAGTTTGCTTTGGATATCCATAATTAAATAGTGGCTAGCAAATCTACAGATTAAGCTTATTCACACCACTAAAACTTAGATTTTTCTCTGTTATCAGTAGATAATCAATATATTTATAACGTAAACCAACAAAAATATATATACTGTTAAAAGTTCTTCCTACATTTCCCCTTCCTAGTATATTTTAACTTTTGAAACAAAGCCTTGAGAACCTCTTTAATGAAGCTTAATACATGTAAATGTTCTTGTGATTATACAAGTCTAATACGCTTGCTCATATGCTGTAACTGCATTCAATACTCTGCTCTGTCTTTTGCAAAGCAATCACTGTAAACAGGGTCTTTTTAGTATTTCAATAAAAGTTCATCTATACTTGGCTAACTCACAGAATCTGGCCCTGGACAGCACCTTTTACCTCTGCTAAACAAGAGTGTTTGCTAAGTATAACAGGGTGTAATGGAACCAACACTGGAATAAGAATCAGACCTCACTTCCGGTGCAAATGGTGCCATGGCCAAGTCACATAACTGATCTCACCCATTTCATTATGAGTAGTGCAAGGTGAGCAATTAGTTCTCACAGTTATGCTTTGATAATTTCATTTGCTCATTTAAGTACGTATAGAGAACCTAGGTTTGCTAGGCCTTGGGGTGTGGATAGGACACCTCTCATTCAGTATTTTGGTGAGGAGGATACACAATTTCAGTTAGTACTAAATACCACAAAGGATAACAGAAATGACAAGTTTTTGGTTGCTTAAGGAAAAGATGCTCTGAGGAAGGGAGATCTGCGATGAGATCTGAATTTGTGAAAGGCTAATATACAGTCCTGAGGGAAAAGCCCTCTAGGAACAGCAATAAACAGGGACAATTTATCTAAGTGACTTTTCCTACCCATGATGGTGACTTTATTCAAAACCTAGTAAAAAACTTGTCCTCTTTTCATGACTCTTCTGTGATTAATTTAACTTCCAAACTACGTGCTCAACATAAGACTATATTCACAGCTTTAAATTCATGGTTCCGACAATGTAATTAACTGTTCTGTTTATTGTAGTCCATAATAAGTCATATTTTTAGAGAACGTCCTAGGATTCTTCTGTTTACTTCCCAGAGAAATTCAACAGTATTATGCAGAGAATGCTTGTTAAATGCTCAGGACCAACTACAATAAAAGAAATCAGCATTTTATATCTGCATTCTCAGAATAAGGTTTCATTATAGAGTACTTCAGAAAAAACTGAAGTGACACTAAATCCAGTGGAAGGAATAAGCAACTCATGAGCAAGAAATCTCAGATTTAGTCTCTAGCTCTACTATTTACTTGTGGCTTCTGGCAAATTAAACGCTATGACTGTTTGTTATTATCTGTAAAATAGGGATACCATTTACCCTGTCTACCCAAAATTAGCTGGTCACCAAGTAAGTTCAGAAGCGATCACATCATGACTGCTGTCCTTAAAGAATTTTTAAGTTTACTGTGGAAACAGCTTAAATACTGGAAACAATAAATGTGTTTTTAATTTTCAAACCAGAAGAATCATAAATGATTTTATTCAATCCCTCATTTTATAAGGGGAATCACCCATCTTCAAAAGGAGACTTGTACAAAGGAATAAATTACGGCAGAACTAGAAGAGCAGCTTAATTCTCTAAGTGCCCAGAGCAGCGGTTTTCCCATGCCGCTCTGCGACCTCTTCTTCCTCAAAGTACAGCTTACAACGCACTCTAACACGATCGACACTCAAATCCAGGAAGGCAAAACTTCATGACTTAAAACAAAATACGCAAACAAAATATGCAAGTGGACTTCTAAGGCTGATAATTTACGTAACGTAGCAGCAGAACTGACTTTAAAAGGTGCAATACATAATACTGAGCCAGAATATTAGGAATTATATGATTAAAAGCGCTTGGTATCTTAGAAATACTATCCTTAAATATTTGGTCTGTGATAGGAACTCTTATTTTGCAGAGTTTTAGTTATATTGATATGATGCTGATTCAACCATGTTTTTGAGAAACGTCAAATATAATTTTTTAAATGAGAAGTACTATACTTGTTATGGTTTACATCAAGAATGATCTCCAAAACTGTCAAGTGCTCAGAGGCAGCACTTCTGGAAGGTGACTGGTCACCAGGGCTGCTAGAGGTGACTTGCTGTTAGAATGTAGAATCTGGATGGTTGGAAGGTCACTGGGGGTGACTAGTAAGGATGTATCTCCCTTCCTGGATCCTCCCTGCTCTGCTTCCTGGCCACGTGACATAAGCAGCTTTCTTCTGTGGCAATTTTCCACCATGCCATTTTGTGGCAACCATGGACTGAACTGTGGGTCGCTCCTTTTTTAAACTGTGGGTGTCACGTAATGTGTTTATCTCAGAGATGAGAAAATTACTAAGATATTTGTTCATGTAAGTTTCGGTTTCCATCATTATTCAACTTTCCTAGTTATGATTTAACCTAGAAGTGGAATCTAAGTTCAAACAGTTATTGAGTGCCTTTTTTTGGTGCATCATGGATAGATTAAATATTACACTGACTTAACGTGTACAAATAAAGAACATGATTTAAAAAATTATGAAATAGGGGCCGGGGATTTAACTTAGTGGCTCAAGCGCTTGCATGGTAAGTGCAAGGTCATGAGTTCAATACCCCCTACCAAAAAAAGAGTTATGAAATTGTTTTGACATCATAAAGGACTAAATCTCTAATGTGAAACTGGATACTAAAAATGTGAAAGAGCCACAACAACAAAAAGAAATTCCTAAATGACTGTCCAATAACAGAAAATTTCATCTAAAAACAAAACGCATTTCTCAGAAATGTCTTAAATACATTTCCCCGTTTCAAATGACCGATACATAACTGAAAGAAGGGTTTTAAGCATAAAAATGTAATCACGAATGAAATGGTTTTAAGGAAAGCACATTGAAGTTATAAATGTCTCCTTAGTACCACCTTTCCAAGAAGAATGTAAAACAGTTTAGAAAATAGTATGCAAAAACTAAGGCTGTAAGAATCACATGAAGTAAGTTTGTAAAAACATCTAGTAGACCATGAAGTACAAGTTATTATTATATAACAATTCATACTCTACAAGCATAGCAGTGCACCGCAGAGCAGACGCAAATGCTTATTTAAAAACTGCAATTCTTATATACTGACTCACTGAATTTTCATTCTTAAAAAAGAATGTTAGCCATCAACCATCCACTTCTGAAAAAAGAACTTATCATAGCCCCAGTGGGGGTGGGGGGCACCTAATTTTTTTTCTACTCTTTCAAATACTGGTCTTAGCTACTTGACCTTAAAGCAGGTCACTCACTGTTCTATCTTCTCTGGACTAAGCTAAATAAAATGTAACAAACACTGTGTTGGGTATTTTGCTTGTACTGTTTAATTGGGTCTGTTATACAGATAAAAGAGAATTATCACTATTTTATAATTAAGGAAATTAATAGTAAAAGAGGTTAGAACACTTGTAGCCAAATCACATTGCTAATAAGTGATATACTGAACCTTTCTCTTAACACCACAAATCTCGGTCTTTCTACCACAGTACCCTGTAAGATGAGAATATTCTTACGAACAAGATGTTCTCTAACGGTACTTTATGCAATTAAAAAAAAGTTACTTTATGAGTCTGTAGTCCATTATTCGTCCTAGACACACACAGGAAAAAAGTACTCACGGAATGTTAGGAAGCTTATTACTCCAAACTTACTACTACTGTAAAGTAATTTTAGTTTTTCAAAGAAAGTAAAGATAACTCAGAGTCTATTAGATTTCACTAGGACTTACAGTGCTATTATGGTATGGGTAAAGCAAAGCACTCAACTTACATATTGTAGAAAGATAATACTTCCCCCCTCCTCTCTTTCTGTCTGTCTGTCTCTCTCTCTATATATACATATAAATAAACGTATATATATATGCATATTTATTTTCCTAAATTGTAAGATCCTTAGAACTAACCTAGTGTTAAGAATTTGAAAAGAAGTATTAAATGTACAGTGAAATACTGTAGTCTATACATCGCTGTCGAATAAAGATCGTACTAACAACGATTTCTGGTCTGCTGTTACGTTCTGGTTGTTACTGTAATGTTTATTTATCTTTCCAGAATACGGTTAACTTCTTTTCATCATACACTAGTCTATGTTACTAATGATGAAATTCACCTAAGTCAGCCCAAATGCAAGCAGAACGCTCAGTATTACCAGTACTATCCTATGGTATCAGAGAAAAACATTTTACTACATTTGACGCTACTCATTTAACAAGCATTTTCTTGAATGTCTATACATACTGTGCTAGAAGTAGAACATAACTCAATCCTAGGCCCTTAAAAACACCATGTCCGGCGAACTGAAACTTCACAACCGGCAGTTTTTGGTGAATTTACTACTTAAAATAATGAAAACAGCTGGACCACACCACTTCACCAGTTATTCTCCTGTGTGAGGTGGCCAAATCCAGGCACTAGAGCATCAAACTCAAACTCATAGGAGTGAAAAGCTTAGGGTAAAAGATGCCTTTTGAGCTCCAAGAGTCCTCCCTACACTCCATCTCTGCGCGGCTGTGGAGGCTCCTGGCTGCATCTCGTGAACTACAGCGGTCTGGGGAAGCACCTTCTGGGACCACCGACTCGGTCTAGACCTCGCTCACCTCTTCCACCTCGATCTCCTTGTAATCGATCTCTTCAAAGTTAAGGACCTGGGAAGGGGCTTCGATCATCTCACTGGCCGAAGTCGAGGAGGAGGAGGAAGCCGCGGAGGCTGTAGACATGATCCCTCGCGGCACCCGGGGGTCCCGGGGACAGTGCCGCCCAGACAACTCGGGTGAGACCAGCGCTCACCCGCCTCCGGGCCGACTTTCAGCCTGGAGTCGTGCAGTCCTGTCACTCGACGATCCGTGGCGACGGACGGGACAGCAGCCACAGCAGTGTCCCGGCTCCGGCTCCGGCTCCGCAGGGTTTTCCGCTGTCGGGCTCCGCCCACCCCACTTCCGGTTCCGGTCCGAAATCGGAACTAGGAGGAAGGGTGGTGAGCTGGAGGAAGGGGAGGAGAATTTTGCAGTTTGGAAAGAAAGGAAGGACAGGTTGGGGGTGGGGTGGAGGAGGGTGAAACGCTAGCACTTGGACCGCTAGAACAAACTTCGCGAGACCTTTGTAAAAGGGTCTCACTGACTGGGTGCTACCGCGAGATCCGACCCGGTGGCGCAATTAAAATGCGCGACCGGAAGTGGCGCGGAGCAGGCCGGAAAACCAGCACCAGTGGTTATTTGGGGAGCAGCGGGAAAGATGAAACGCAATTTCGGTTCTGCTTCATGACTTACGTCGTTCCCCTACTTACTCTCTTCTGAGCGGCCTGCAGTCGGGCAGGGAAGTTTTGCATTGTTTGTTGGATTGTACTGTGTTTTTGTGGCTGAGATTTTCAGTTGTAGTCGAAACAAAATTGAGCTGTTTCTTTAAGAAGTCCTGCAGATTGTTTCCTTTTTGGTGTGGGGAATCCGTTGGGCTTGCTACTTTGAACTGTTCCCAAACTAAGAGATCCTAAAAGTCAGCTCATTGTAAGAGCATATACAACCTGAGTTAACACCATGAATGCTGAGTGCTCATAAAGAGAAGTTGATAATTTTGATGTTAAAAGTTTTGCAGATTATATGGGTATTTACAATTTGACATAATTTGTTGTGTTCATCTCAAATTGTGGACTTAGGTGTATGTAGCACTATGCAAGTGCTAAGCATTTCTTTATGAATCGTTTACCAATATGCAATCAAATGATTTTGTGGCCATTTTTCGGGACACGAGAAAGTAAATTCAGAGAGATTAAAACTGTTTGATTCTCAGAGGCAGATCAGTCGGCTTGTTTTGTTGTATTATCAACACAATTTTTAGTTTTAAGGTAGTTGTTAACCTTTAGTCAGTTGGACCTAAAGAGTGGGGAAAATTGAGGTTAGAAAGAGGAATTTAAGAACCAAGGGCAGACTTTGCAAATGTTCAGTCTCAGTGGGAGGCTGAAAAGAGACTGGGAATGCAGCTCAGCAGTGGAGGACCAGCATGCACACTGGCTTCAATTCCTACCACGGGTGTGTGGAATGGGCAGTATTCTGACAGAGGGATATGGGACAGTAGTAATACAGTTGTCACTAGAGGAGAGCTTTCCAATGAAGGAGTGGCCGACCAAGTAAATTCTGTAGGGAAGTAAGTTAAACACCTTTGAGATTACAAATAAGTCATTCTATTTAGCAAGAAGTTATTTTGAACTCCCAGCAAATACTGTGTCCCTTTTTATTTGTAGGTCTAGTGACATTTCATAACAACTTGTGACAATTTGGTAAGTGAATAAAAAAGCGAAAGGAAAAAAAAATTCTCACTGTATACCTGCTCACTAGATGATCTTCCTGGGGATCTTGATTCTAGTACTGCTTTGGTGATCATGATGCTTAATCTCTTCTTAATACTCAGATTTTTTTCTTAATTCAAACAACTAAATTTACGATGCCGAAAGCAAATTAAAAATTTTTCACCCATCATAAAGATTTTCTTATGCGTGCAGTGCATTTCCTGTTTCACCAAAGAATTCTGTCGTGTATTCAGCTAAGTGGGAAATTGTGAATTTATGTGCGGTGTGTTAATAACCAAATACAATCAGATTGAATGAATGGGAGAACCATTTCACTTGGTTTTTCTTTATATTTCCAAACTAGAATGATCAATTCGGGGTATCATTCTGCAGGTCCATCTTTGATTTCTCTTAACACCTTAATTTTAGTATAGCGGATTCTTCCAAATGGGAACTCAAGAAATATTTGTTATGCAAACTGGAAAAATGAATAACTTTTGTCCCTTCTGTTCCAGGAGTGTAGGATCTAATTACTGTTATCTTCATTCTGGGACTAAAATTCTGACAAAAGAGCTAATCACTACTGGCGTGATACAGTTCTGCTTTGACTTTTCTCCCTAAGTTTTTATTACTGTACATGTCAAATACACAGAAAAGTCAAAAGAATTTGGTAGTACTTACTGTCTCCCCACCAAAATTCTACCTTTAATATTTTACTATACTTGCTTTATCATTTATTAATCCATTTGCTTATCCATTTGTGCTACATTCGTTTACAAGGAATGATTAAAATATACAGTAAATGTTTAAATTAGTACAGTAAAACACAAATTTGCCTCCCTCAAAATACTCCACTTCAAACACTTACCCTGTTATTCTTGACATTTTCTGAAGCAATTGTAGGAGCCCTCTTTCCTGAGTGTCTTTCAAAGTGTAGTCAAACTGTGATGAATGGTGTGGCCATGTGATGTCTAACAGGAAGACAAGCTTGCAGACACAGTGTGATACATTTTCATCCACTTTATTCACTTGATCTTTCCCTGTGTGACTTCTGCCTCTTTCTAAGTATCAAAATGACTGAAAGGTAAGTTGTTCAAATTGATTCAAGACATCACAGCAGCCATGACAGTGGAACTAAAGAGACTCAAAAAAAGAACTTCCAGAGCTGCTTGAGAAACGGGAAAACAATGGGAAAACTGTACTCAGAGTGTATTCTGAGGAGAATTAATGGCAATTATAGAAATAAAATTTTTAAAACTTATTCATCGTATTTTCAATCTTATCTCATTTATTTTTTGTTAAATGTATTTCAAAATGAATTGCTTACAGATTTTCAACATCATTGATGCCAGTATTTCTGATTTTGTGCTTCATTTATTTGGATTTCTGATATTGACACTAATCTAAAATTAGTTCCCAGAAACATTCACCTCTGGAGTTCCCATTATCCCCAAGGAGCAGCCTCTCCTTCCATTGTATGTATTGGTTATGTTAGATAGTAAGTTCCAGGTTTTCATTTAACCTGGTCAAAATTGTATTTTTTTTCTTAAAATCAAAGGATTCTGTTATATTTTCAATTCAGAGAAGTGATGGAGAAGAGTTAAACCCATCTTACCTTATAATTTTAACTTTGCGTCCCTTTTAATGTCTTTAACTTTCATGAGTTAAGGATGGAGGTTAGAGTTCACCGGATGTGGGGGAGAAGGAAAGGGCAATGGTAGGATGGTTTCTGGATTTCTCATTTGTGCTTCTTAGGTTAGGAAGGGTGCCTTAGGTGGAAGGAGGGAAGACTGAAAGCAGACTGGGAAGAAAACAATGAAGAAATTATTTTTTTTTAAAAAATCAGATTCTACTGATACATTTTAGATATACATAATGATCACATCATAGAGGATTTCTACTGCACATGATATAACTGGATTCTTCTTTTTCCTATTCCCGTGTCTTCCTTTCAACCCCTCCCTCCCCACTTTTAAAAGCTTTGAGAAATTAATTTTAAACAGGACAAACTGACCTAGAGGTACCTGAGGAATTTAAGTATTATGTGGGGTGGTGGGATTGGACCCAGGATCTCATGCATGCTAGACAAATGTTCTATCATGGAGCTATACTGCTAGCCCCAAATCTTACTATTAAGTAGATAGTTGATCTTAGCAAAACAAAGCAGGACAGAGCTACAAAAGCAGATATTGATGTATTTGTCAAAATTAAAGCCATTAGAAAAAAAGCTCATGGAAGAATAGGGCTTTACACAGAACCTTACGGGATCGAATGGCTGGGGATGGGTAGAGGTGGAAGTAGAAAACTAAAAATGATGATATTGTGGAAGTCAAGATAAAAAGAGTGGTTGTATGTTGAAATAATGTAATTATAAGAAATAATTGTGAAGAAAATTTGTATTGGTCTCAGGGACTCAGATGTTACTCATAGGTTTGACTAGGGAAATTTTTGCATGGTAATAGAAACCAGATGGATTGGATTGAAAAATAAGGGGAACGAGGGCAGTAATATGGCCAACTTTTTGAGAATTTTGATTAAGGAAGGAAATGTTCAGAATGGTATGAATCAAGCCTGCAGTGGAGCAAGGGAGTTTAGGACTCCGGCAAGTATAGTTGAAATGATGGATCATAGATAGGATAAAATAATAATGGGAGAGATGATGGTTTGGGGAAGGCAGAGGGTGTCAGAAGCTTAGAGGTTTGCCGTGTGATTAAAAAATAGATGTGGTGACAGTTTCCTAGAAAAATTGGGTTGATCTACGTTTATAAATAAAAAGCAAGATGCTTGAATTTGTTATTTCAGGGGTGATACAGTTTCAGGTGAGGGCAAGATCTGATCTGAGATATTGGGAGAAAAGGAGCAGTAGGTCTTTGGAACTGAAAAGTCAGGATATTGATGGATCACTCATCTAATTGTCTGTTAAACTTTGAGGTTTCTTTTTTTCCCTATTAAATAGTGAAGTCAATAGCAAAATCTATTCTGTTTTTCTAGTTGTCTTACTTTCCTTTCTCTAAACCATTTGTACTTTGCCCGTGCTTTGAAGAGGGTTGGTGAACTAATTGCAATTAAAATTTCTGTTCTTTATCTTTAAAACACAGATTTTAGAATTTTTATGGCAGAGTTCGTACCTTAATTCTGCCACATACCTCGAATAAATTTCTTAAACTTTTTTAGTTTATCTAATACCTATAGCAAAGATTTTGGTGCAAATTAAGAGTAACTGGATCATAGAGATTAATTAAATGTTGAATACTTACTTGACTTTCCTTTTTTTACCTTCCTTAAGGGGTAATAAAGGGGAAAACAATTCTCCATCACAGACACCGTCAGACTGTGTTGTCTTAGGATAGCTCAGTTGCTGACTGGTACAAACTTGGAAGGAGCAGGGATGGTGGTACATTTCTGTAATCCCAGTACTTGAGAGGCTGAGGCAGGAGGACTACCCTAATTCGAGGCTAGTATGGGCTACATTGTGATTTCAAGGCCAGTTTGAACTACAAAGCAAGACCCTGTCTCAATTACCACCCCCTCCCCCGAAAATACTTGAAAGGGAGGCTAGTTTCGGTCAGTTGCTGGAGAGAGACGAACAAGCTTATGATTCTTTTTGCTCATGAGCTTCAGCACGAGGCATCTATGCTTTCAGTCTCACACTTTAAAATACGCCTTTCTGGCTTTTCTTATACATGTTCCTTAATGGAATAGGAGAATCAGAAAAATTACAATTCTGAAGTACCCACTCA